TGTATGTATGTATGTATGTATGTATGTATGTATGTAATGGTATGTATGTATGTATGTATGTATGTATGTATGTATGTATGTATGTATGTATGTATGTATGTATGTATGTATGTATGTATGTATGTATGTATGTATGTATGTATGTATGTATGTATGTATGTATGTAGTATGTATGGTATGTATGTATGTATGTATGTATGTATGTATGTATGTATGTATGTATGTATGTAAGTAATGTATGTATGTAATGTATGTATGTATGTATGTATGTATGTATGTATGTATGTATGTATGTATGTATGTATGTATGTATGTATGTATGTATGTATGTATGTATGTATGTAATGTATGTATGTATGTATGTATGTATGTATGTATGTATGTATGTATGTATGTATGTATGTATGTATGTATGTATGTAATGTAATGTATGTATGTATGTATGTATGTATGTATGTATGTATGTATGTATGTATGTATGTATGTATGTATGTATGTATGTATGTATGTATGTATGTATGTATGTATGTATGTATGTGTGTGTGTATGTATGTATGTATGTATGTATGTATGTATGTATGTATGTAATGTATGTAATGTATGTAATGTATGTATGTAATGTATGTATGTATGTATGTATGTATGTATGCATGTATGTATGTAGGTGTGTATGTATGTATGTATGTAGGTAGGCAGGTGTGTGTATGTATGCATATGCTTTATGTATGTATGTATGCATGTATGTATGTACAGATCTATGTACATCATGTAAGTATAGAATTATCCATGCCTGCATGTATGCATGCATGCATGTGTGTACGTGTGTATGCATGGATGTATACATGTATGTATGTATGCATGTAATATATGTATTGGTATCTATGGAAAGGTGGATGTATGTGTGTATGTACACAACATGCATTTATTCATGTATCAATGTAAGGATGTATGGGTGTCTGGCATTTACAAAGCTGGGTATGTATGTATGTATGTATGTAGGTATTTATTGTTTTTTTGTATGTATGTATGTAAGTAACATGTATGTATACATATGTATATATATATATGTATATATATATATTCATGTGTGAAGTGTATGTATGTATGTTTGCATGCATGCATTTATGAATGTACACCAGAACATGCATTTTAATGCAATGTATTGTAATGTAGTTCAATGTAATGCATGTAGGGTTGTATTTATGTATGTATGTTGTTGTTTCATTGGAATGTAATGTAACATGATGTAATGTACTAGACATTGACGGAATGTAATCTAATGTTTCGGGATTCATTGTAATGAATGTATGTACTGTATGCATGCATGTGTGTATGTATGCTTGTATGTGCTGTTATGTTATGTTATGTTATGTAATGTATGTCTGTATGCGTGTATGTTTGTATGTCTGTATGTCTGTATGTCCGTATGTCTGTATGTTTGTATGTCTGTATGTCTGTATGCACTGTATGTATTGGTCTCAGGTTGTATGGATGTATGGACGCATGGCTGGCGTCTGACATGTATGTAGGTAGGTATGTATGTATGTATGTATGTATGAATGTGTATGTATGTATGCATGTCTGTATGTCTTTATGTGTGTATGGAACGAATTGCAATGTAATGGAATGCATTGTATTGTATTGCCATGTGATGTAGTGTAATGCATGTATAAATCTATCAATGTAATGAAAGGTAATGCCACGTCGTGTGATGTGATGTATTGTAGTATGGTGTAATGTATGTAGGATGTACGTATGTACGTATGCAATATTTGTTTGCTTTGCTGAAATGTAGCTGAATGTAGTGTAATTTCATGCAATGAAAAGACATGTAGTGTAACGTGCTGTAGTGTACGTTGTGTATGTGGGTATGTTTATATGTATGTACGTAATGTAATGTAATGTAATGTAATGTAATGTAGTGTAGTGTAATGTAATGTAATGTAATGTAATGTATGTCTGTGTATGTATGTATGTATGTATGTATGTATGTATGTATGTATGTATGTAATGTATGTATGTAATGTATGTACGTACTGTACTGTACCGTTTTGTACTGTACTGTACTATACTGTACTGTACTGTAATGTAATGAAATGTAATGTATGTATGTATGTATGTATGTATGTATGTATATATGTATGCATGTGTGTACATATGTATGTATGTATGTATGTATGTATGTATGTATGTATTTATGTGTATATGTATGTGCGTGTATGTGTGTGTATGTATGTGTGTATGTGTGTGTATGTGTATGTACGTATTTATGTATGTAAAGACAAACATGCAATGTATCGTAGGATAATGTTGTGCAATGCAAAGTACTGAAATGTAACGTAATGTAATGTACGTACATAGGTATGAATGTAATGTAGTGTAATGTAAGGTAAGGTAATGTAGTGTGGTGAAATGTAATGCAATGTAATGTAATGTAATGCAGTGTCATTTACTGAAACGTAACATTATGCGATGTATTGTATGGGTTGATGAGTTTCTGGGTGCTTGGCAATTGTTGTATGAAGGTATATATGTATATATGTATGTATAGACTGAAATGCAAGGTAATATGTAGTGCACTGCAATGCAAGGTAATGCAATGTAATGTATGTATGCATGTAATGCATGTAATGCATGTATGTACGTACGTATGTAGTGTATGAATATATGTTTGTTTGTGCGTATGTATGCATGTGCGTGCGTCTGTGTGTACGTATGTAATGTCTGTATGTGTACGTAAGCATGTATGCAGGCATGTGTGTATGTATGCATGTATGCAATGTAATGTCTGAATGTATGTATGTATGAATGTTGTTGCGTGCACGTTTGTTATGTTACTTAGCTAATGTATGTCATGTAATGTAATGTACTGTAATGTAGTGTAATGTAATGTAATTTATTGTAATGTAATGCAGTGGAATGTAATGTAATGTATTGTACTGTTTTGTGATGTAGGTATGTATGTGTGTGATGTGATGTGACGTGATGTGATTTGTTGTGTTTTGATGTGATGTAATGTATGTATGTGATGTGATGTTGTGTTTGTACATACGTGCGTATGTGTTTGTGCATGTATGCACGTACGTACATATGTAGGTATCTATGTGTACTGTAGTGTCATTTGATGCAATGCAATGAAATACAATGTTGTGTAGTACAACGCCATTTAAGGCAGTACAATGTAATAGAATGTATGTATGCATGTATGTAACGTGTTTTAATGTATGTATGGATTTAGGGATGTATGCAGGTATGGGTCGCTGGAATGTACGTAGGCATGTATGTATGTAGGTAGGTAGGTATGTATGTGTTTGTGTGTGCGTCTGTTTGTCTGTAAGTATTTAATGTAATGCAATGTAATGTAACGGGAAATGTAATGTACTGTAATGTAATGTAATGTAGTAATGTATGGATGTATGTAATGTGTCGTAGTGTAATGAATGCAATGCACAATAATGTAGTAGATTAGTTTGACTTCATTTATTGTAATGCAGTGTAATGTAATTTTTGTATATCCCCCCCCCCCCCCCCGTATTTCAACGTATTTTAATGTATGTTAGTGTATAGTCTGTTGGTCTGTTGGTCTGTTGGTTGGTTGCTTGGTTGTTTGGTTGCTTGGTTGCTTGATTACGCTTGATTGCTTGGTTGCTTGGTTGGTTGGTTTGTTTGTCTGTTTGTCTGTTTATGTGTATAGCAGAGGTGTGGGAGCGATATTTTGGACCGAGGCGCGGTTTCTCGCTGCAGCACATTGTGGAGGCTCAACTTTGGCAGCATGCAGCGAACACTCCTCAATCAAAGTGCTGAGCGGGGTGTCGGAAGTGCCAACGGTAGCACGAAGGAAGAGGGAACAGATTATTGCAGCAGGCGCCGATGATCACACACGTCACTTCAGCAGATGGTCCGCCACCCTGATCGCGAGCTAAACTTCGAGTGACACGAGACCTTCAATCTTTGGTTCAAGTTTCTGGACCGATTTTTCCCAACATTCACAAGTTAAAGCTACTGAGGTCAGAGTCGGAGTGGGCCAGGAACACAATTTATGCTCTCAAGGACTGCATTGCAAGCATGTTCTTTTGTGTTTTGTTTTTACAGGTTTGCATTCGCCAGACAGGTTGGATAAACGCAGGGCTGTACAGGCTGCACAGTGTAGGAAGGCTAGGCTGGCTTGAGAGCCTGGCTCACATACCCGGCTCTGGGATTTGGAGTGGCTGCATTGGGAAGGAGCGTACTGTTTCCAATACCGGCGCCTTCGCCTCCACATTCACATCGTTGAGGCACGCTGTGATTGGTCCAAGGAACACAAGGGTAAACACAAACCCACCTAAACCCGCCGTAAACCGTCGCTAAACCGGCATAAACCCAATGTGCAGTCCTTAGCCCATCCTAGAGGGGGTACAGAATCCAATAACGATCACCAGTTGGTCACCATTCGCAGCTTGAAGCGTGCATTACGTCATCCTGAGATGCATTCTGAGGTGCAGTGCTTGTGAGAGAGTAGCAGACCCGAGAGCTTTTCCTAGAGCTAGCTGCCAATGCTCCAATGCTGAGGGCGCTGCGAATTAGCTGCGCGCATAGCGGTGAAAATGGAGGCCGCTTGCATTGACATATACAATGGCCTTGGCTGACAATGCTGTGTTCCTTGGCAGTGTGGTTGTCAGCAAGACTGCGTAATGACACGTGAAATGCTTTCAGCTTATTCCTCGAGCGCATTTCCCGCATCGCATCGTGAACTTGCAGAGGATAAGGTGCAACATAGGGTGTTCGGAGTTGCTCGCCCAAAGAAGAACACAATCCGCAATTGGAACAAGCCCGTTTTCTGCTTTTTGGCAGAGGCCCACACTCTTCAGACCAGGCAAGCGCAAGCAGAGCTTGAGTCACACCCATGAGATGATTCGAAGCATCCAGCCTTTGCGCATGGACCGGTATTTCGTTCTTGATGCATGAGCCCTGTCTTCAGCGCGTTGCGAATTTGCTTTGCCGGCTGCAATTGCTCCTCCCAGGCCAAGTATCCTTGTGAGACTGAACTTGCCGGGATTTGCTTCTCCTGAGCCGTTCCGCCACCAACTCAATGGATCGGGTGTGAGGGTAAGGTACCTGCAATGCTTCTGTGACTTTCTCACCCTCGCAAGGCCTCACAAATGCCCCCACCTCTATTGCCGGGCTGGCATGTGCTGTGCTGGAGGAGATAGGAGGTTTCAACAAGGCCAGCTTCTGGGCTTCTGGTGCTGAAAGCTTGGAACGGAGAAAGCTTTGCTGACAGGAAGAGCTGGATGCCGTGAGAAACCACTTGGACCAAGTGCCGCTGACTCTCCTCGGAGAGCTGCGCCTTGCCACAAGAGAAGAAGCAATCGGCTCGGCTCAAAGCGTCTCAAATCGGCTCAAATCGGCTCAAATCGGCTCAAATCGGCTCAAATCGGCTCAAATCGGCTCATCGGCTAAGCGGAAGCTGGGATCCAAGGTGCGCTGGTCAGTTGGTGGAGCTGGCCTCTGATGCTGAGCTGAGAGTCCGCAGCTCTGCCTGGACAACCTTTGACCCCTTGAGAGGCAACGGCCATGAAGGCAATGGAGGCGTTGAGCGTGTGGACGCTGAGGTGTTCTTGTCTACCGCTGAGTCACCGAAAGGTCCTGCCATCATTGAGGCAAGAGCCTCAGCTAAGCGTGGCAGATGCATTGCCTTCCGTGCAGGTTCGACCGAGGCACGGTGGAAGCTCAGAGGCCATGGACCACGTACCTTTCTTGCACTTGTTAGGGCCATCTCATTGGTCAGAATATGAAGTTTGTATAACGTTCTACAGCTAGGGATGTCCCAAGAAAATGGGCCGCAAATATATCAGGGACCTTCACCCACCCCCCAAATCACTCCCGAGCAGTCAGGGTTTTTTTGGGCCCTAATAAGGCTTGTCAAGTCGCTAACAGGAAAGGGGGTGGTTTGTAGGGTCCCAGAATGCAGGGCGCACAGGATGGAGAAGGCAATACATGCTTGTCATCAGGCACTGGTGCAGAGTCCAGTCGGTTTGGTGCTCAGTGTATGCGTTCGAACAAGAGGTTGGGCAAAAGTGAGACTTCACACTGCTACAATGCGATTCGAGGTTGGCAGCAGACGGCCTCTCAGTGTGAGACCTTGTTCAAGTTTTCCACAAAGTTGGAACTTTCCTAGATGAGTTGGTTGGCATTCAGGTCACCAACGCAGTCAGATGGTCCGGTGCCAGGCCACACATTGCTGATGCCGACCTGCAACAGCAATCGAAATGGCTATGTGTTAGAACAAGGGGCACATGTTATTCAAGGAAGACCAACCAAGAACCAGCGATTTGAAGACGGCCCCAGTTTTGACGCATACCCAGACATTGCACCTCTTAGTATCGTACAGGAAACCACTTGTCATTGCTTCGCGCCAGGCGTGCATGCTTCAAGCCATGAGGCCATTTCCCATCAGCGCTTTCGGGGTTGAGGGTTCAGTGGTACACCAAGGTTCGCCGAAATGGTGAGCCTGAAGCTTAGACAGCAACACACTGCAAGTGGTGTAATTAACCCATGTAGTCTTGAAGTTGAGCGGAGTCGACTTCAATTGAATGTGCTTAAGAGCGACTAGGCACGCCCGGTTGCATCCACCAGAAGGCACTGCATTTTGTTGTATAGATGCAATAACAATGGCGCAGAGCATGTTGCTAGCAGAAGTTGGCCTGTTGCTGCGATATGTTTGACCAGGGTGGTCAAATAACGCCAAGTCGCCTTTGGCTAAGAGTGGCTTTGGCTAAGAGTGTGCTTTAGCAGCTTGAGCGGTTTAACGGTGTATCAGCTTTCGCATAAGAGCAGATTCGCATGAGCACTCCTAATGCTTGGAAGCTAGCCACTGGGAGGTAGCGTCCTGGAGAAATATTATTTGAAGCTTTTGCAGATGTGGCGAGTCTTGCTCCCAATTGCTTGCTTTAGGATCTTGTTACTGCAAGGTCACAGATGTCTCAGCAAGATCAGGAGCTGCAGGACAGGAAGGTACAGGGATTCCAGAGCAATCTCAACCACGACTGGCAGTCACTAGCATCGCCTTCCAGGGATTCTGATCCTTGCCAGGAGCATCTAAGACTGCAGGAAGAGCTGCAGCTGAAGCAGAGAGAGCTACAGCAACACCAGCAGCAACTACAGCAGCAATTTGAGCAGCGCGCCCAAAGACAGCAAGCGCAGCAAGCGCGGCCAGCGCAGCAAGCACGGCCAGCGCAGCAAGCGCAGCAAGCAAAATCAGAGGAATGGCTGGAACATGATTTGCCCAAGCGGCAGCAGCCTCAGATGTCTACAATTTGCAGGGAGGTCTGTGAGCGCCTTGAGCATGCTACTCGGTCCATCTGACTGCAAGGACAGTTCTTGTCGGCAATGGCTGTTTGCCTCCGACAACTGTAGGCATGTGCCAGCGCAGTTTGCTTCGATTCCTAGCCCAGTGCCCGATGAGTCCTCGCCAGGAACCAAGCCTTCACAATGTTGCAAGTTGCAATTCGCTTGCCGGGTCGAGTCGGTTGAGTCAAGTAGAAGGTTGCTGACAAGCAGTTGCTGGGATCTTCCTGGCGAGGAGCACACTGCGCAGGGCTTGGGAGAGAGCTTTGGTTCAATCAGGCCCTTGGAATGGAGCGGACCTTTTTCTTTGTGGTTGATGGCTGAATTGAGCATGAATGCAAACATGGTTAATAACCTCAACGCCTGGGACAGGTATCAAAGAAGCTTATTTTGCATCAACAAAAACACATATCCAGCATCAAAAAGCAACTTACTAGGCATCAAGAAAAGCCAAGGCAACTGTGAGGAAGGAAGGAAGGAAGGAAGGAAGGAAGGAAGGGAGGGAGGGAGGGAGGGAGGAAGGACGGGAGGGAGGGAGGGAGGGCGGAAGGAAGGGAGGAAGGAAGGAAGGGAGGGCGGAAGGAAGGGAGGAAGGAAGGGAGGGAGGGAGGGAGCAAGGAAGGAGAGGAAAGGAAAGGAAAGGAAAGGACATGACAGGAAAGGAAAGGAAGGAAGGAAGGAAGAAAGGGAGGAAGGAGAGGCCTGATGCGGTTGTTTGTGCTTGCTGCAGGGGCAGCCCCCGCCTTGTCTTAGCTGCGCGCACTACAATTCTTACCCGGCTGATGCCGCTGGTTGTGCTTGCTTCACTCAGGGGGGGGTAAGCCATGCCCGACAAGTTGTTTGAAGCCAAGTAAGTTTTTGTTGATGTGGCAGTTTCCAGTCTTTGCTTTGCGCAATATTTTGTTGTTTGATGCCTATTTTTTCGTCTAGATCTGTAGACAATCTTCCTTGGAGGCTTAAGACTTTCATTTTGATGCCTCACCCTCAATGCCTGGGGTGTGGATTTCTGCATGTGTGCAGGGTCAGGCCTGAATGTTTTGACGGCTTTCAGGCCTGCAATGGCAGCAACTGGCCCAAAGAGATGCCTGCATACGCACACTGATCGCAAATGGATCGCCTTTGGCTCGCGGTTGGACTACTTCTTGCTGCTGGCCAACCCATCATCATTGATACCGACATGAATGTGGATGACATGGCAGCTATTGCCTTTCTATTAGAGCGAAAAGCCAACATCCAGGCCATTACTGTCAGCACTACAGGCTTTTCCGCTCAGTGGGCCGGCGTTGAAAATGCGCTAAGACTTCTTCATCGCTACAACCGCAGCGACATACCAGTGGCTTTTCAGGAGGGATTCGTGGGTCAAACGCAATTGAATCTGAAGTATCCAGTGGGGATCCCACCTCCTCACTGGACAGATGGCTCCAACAAGTATTTTACGGACTGGATTTCCTTGAAGAAGAGCCCAAAGCAAGCAGCATGGCAAAGTGCCGCCCAACTGATCGTGGAAGTTCTAAGCAACTCTGCCGAGAAGGCGCGCTCTCTGAGTCAGGTCGAGGTTGGTATCCCTGACTTCACTGACTCCCTGACTCCTGACGGCGTTTGAAGTTTGTGCACTTGAAGCAATTTGAGGCTTGTTTTGCTAGGTGCACTTCTTGGAACTGGGCCCCTTCACGAACCTGGCTGCGGCCTTGCACAGGGACGCAGATGCCGTGAGACAGATCCACACGATCTACATGGAAGGAGGGCGCCTTTCGCAAGGATCAGGCGAACGTGTAAAGATGGTCGCGGTCTCTTCATTTCAGCCGGGCCCGTAGGTCTTGATAGAGAGAGAATAGAGAGAGAATAGGGAGAGAATAGGGAGAGAATAGGGAGAGAGAGAGAGAGAGACAGCATGGCTGCTGTGCACTGCCCATGAGCTCATTCCTTGGACAGAGCATGACCGATTGAATGTGAAGGAAGCGTTTTGCAACCTGACAGGTTCATTGCGACGCTTGCGCGGACCTGGGTTTCCGTGGACTACAGCAACAAAACCAAAGAATGCCTCGTGGAATGTGTTTGTTGATGCCATTTCTGCATCTCAGGTGTTCGCTTTTGGTATTCCTACCATGGTGGTGGCGGACAACGCCTGTGATGCTTTGGTAGTAGATCCGGGAGATTCTCATGAATACGGAAATGCAAATTGCACGAGTTTTCTGACGGAGATTGTATTGAAGTGGGCACCTGCTCACCATGAGCAATGGTCAAACTTAAAGTACTGGGATCCTGCGGTGAGTGTGATGATGCTTCAGACACTCAACCAGGAATCTCTGGCATGTCAAGAATGGCTAGAGTCAAATTTGACAGTGAGCCTGCAGAATGACGACACATATGCAACTTTTGTCCAAGGGCAGGTTGGAGCACCAACCAACGCTTGCCTTGCATCGAACAGGGCATCATTGCTGCAAGCATTCTACGCTGGCTGCTGATGAGGGCCAGCAATTCGTGTGTTAGATTTTGCCTGTGCCTGGCTGCTAGTGTGATATTTGATGCTTAAGGTAGCTGGCAGCTTGACGCCACTGCTTGGGCAGTTGCCAATTCATACATGTACATATTTGGAGAGGGCCACAGAGTCGTTCTCGAAGTACAGCTCAGGGCTGCTATGCGCCGGTGAAAACAGATGGCGCAGCAAGCGGAGATCAGATGTGATGGGAACTTACTGTTGCCTTGAAGGACAGAGAAGACAGGCGCGCACTGCAACATTCTCCTTCAGCGCCAGCTTTTGCAGTCACCCCAGTTGTGCCACTGTGATGGAAGTGGTGGCATGTGTGCACTTCTGTGATTGAAGTGATCCATGAACGAGCATGGCCAAGGTTAACGGTTCGCATGAAGGCTGGATTCTTCGCGATTGCCCCGCACCATTGCCGTTCACTATACTGACTACATGGTCTTGCGTTCGAAGAGGGACATGTCAGATAGTTCAGAGGTGAAAGTTGCATGCCTTCCTTGCTTGTAGTTGTATTCGTGTTGCTCGCCGTGACCCCGCCTGAGAATACATTGCCTGAAGCTCCGCTTTTGTCGAGGGTTCAGAACACGACATGGGTTTTTTCGTGCTTGTCCCATAGGCTCCGTTTGGATATTCAGGAGCAATCCCTGATTCACCAACCAAACCCAAGTTTCGCAATTGAGCAAGCAAGCCCCTGACCAAGCGCAGCCAAAGTCCTTTGCTTCGGCAACCCTTTGGTTTGACATGTCTTTTTGCTTTTCAATCATGCGTGCAGGATTTCTGAATCATGCACAGAGGCAAGCAAAGCAGCAGAGTAATTGCATGGAGTCCTCTTTGATACGCATAACATGTTTCTGTCTTGTGCAGCCCACAGGAAGCAGCAACTTGTGGCAACTAAGTTGGGCAAACAAGGTTTTGAGCGGCCTTGTGCTTGAGCTTGACAGCGCGATGGCAGGCCATGCGATCTCGCGGAATGAAATGCACATGTGCCCAGCCTCGCAAATTGGGGAGCGCATGTTCATCGTTGATTTCAGCGATGATGAGACAGACCGAAATGTTCATTGTGGGTGAAGTGGTTTTCGAGGCCACTCCGTTCTCCTCCGCCAAAGCGGTCGAGCACGCTGCAGCCTCCGGTAGAACCAAATTATGCATTTATGTCGTTTTTTTGGTAGCCGAGGCCTGATAGCCAGCGGCGAGCTGCGCGTCCGGGGCTAGATGTGTCACTGGATTTCTCTCTTGCACTAGCATGAGGCTCGGGCGCACACGAGGCAGATTCCGCGCCTGTTTTTCCAAGCAAACCGTATTTTTTCGGCGATGCACATTTGTTCTCTCCAGTATGCATGATTATGCGTGATGTAACCCCCTTGGACTTTAAAGACGAACGGGGCATGCATGTTCCAGCCAGATTTCGGCTTCGAGCTGAGATGAGCACGAGTGTACCCTTGCGACCTTTGTCGGTCACTGAGGCAGGTGACCGACATTTGCCGCTCGTCCAGGGTTATCAACTCCTGGACGGGTGCCCTGGACGAGGTGCGGCTCTTTCAAGGGGAGCTGCTGGACCTTCCGGAGCAGCGGCAAAGATCCGCCGACCCCTGTTTCCAAAGGGGAGGCGCGTGGGAAGGGTTTGTCTTTGTCCTTGTCTTAGCGATGATTATCATCACCGCTGATGTTGGGTGATGGTTCGCAGCATCCGGATCATCATCATCACCGTGGCGCTCTTCTTATTGCGTTTCAATCGTGCCGCTAGGCCCGACTGGAAATGCAGAGGATGCGTTGCCATGATGACTGGTGCTGATGCTGGGGACGCAGAGTGATAACTGTTAACTGCTGGTGATGCTGAGGATGCGTAGTGATGATGATGAGGAACATGATGATGATGATGATGATGATGATGAACATGATGATGAACATGATGATGAACATCATGATGATAATGATCCTGCTGAACATGACGATGAAAGTGATGATGGTGTTCATCATCACCATCAGCATCATCATGTTCATGTTCATCATCATCATCAGCATCATCATCACTGTCATTTTCATCATCATGTTCCTCATCATCGTCATCTTCACCATCATCATGTTCCTCCTCATCATGCTCATCATCGTCATTACCATGTTCATCATCATCATGTTCATCATCATCATCATCATCTTGTTCATCATCACCGTTTGCATCATCATGTTCCTCACAATGTTCATCATCAAAACCGTGGCGCTCTTCTTTTTCACACACATGTCAATCGTGCCGTTAGACCCGACTGGAAATGCAGAGGATGCGTTGTCATGATTGTCATGGTAACTGCTGCTGATGCTGGGGACGCAGAGTGATGACTTTAACAGCTGGTGATGCTGAGGATGCGTAGTGATGATTATCTTCAGGATGATGATGATGAGGAACATGATGATGAAAATGATGATGAACATGATGGTGATGATGCTGAACATGATGCTGATGATGAGTCATGTTCCTCATCATGTTCATCACCAAAACCGCTGCGCTCTTCTTTTTCATACACGTTTGAATTGTCCCGCTAGACCGGGCTGGAAATGCAGAAGATGCGTTGTCATGGTTGTCGTGATAACTGCTGCTGATGCTGGGGATGCGTAGTGATAACGTTAACTGCTGGTGATGCTGAGGATGCGGAGTGTGAGTATCATGATCTTCATCATTCATCGTCATCATCATTTTCATCATCATGTTCATCATCGTCAGCATCATCCTCATGTTCATCATCAGGTTCCTCATCATGTTCATCATCTTCATCATCATCATCCTGATGTTTGTCATCACCGCGCATCCTCGGCACCACCAGCAGTTAACGTCATCACTATGCATCCCCAGCGTCAGCAGCAGTTCTCATGACAATTGTGACAACCATCCTCTGCATTTTTAGTCAGGTCTCACGGCACCCTTGAAACGCATATGAAAATGATTATGATCATGATTAAAAAGGATGATGAAAGTGATGATGGTGGTGTTCATCATCATCATGTTGATCACATCATCATCATCATGTTCATCACATCATCATCATCATCCTCATCATCATCATCATGTTCACCATCATCATGTTCATCACCATCATCATGTTTATCATCATCATCCTCATCATCATTTGCATCATCATCATGTTCATCATCAAAACCGTGGCGCTCCTCTTTTTCACATACGTTTCAACTGTGCCGTTAGACTCGACTGGAAATGCAGAGGATGCGTTGTCATGACATCAAAACCGTGGCGCTTTTCTGTTTTCCTCTACGTTTCAAGTGCGCCGTTAGACCCGACTGGAAATGCAGAGGATGCGTTGTCATGATTGTCATGATAACTGCTGCTGATGCTGGGTGATGACGTTAACTGCTGGTGATGCTGAGGATGCGCAGTGATGATCATCATCAGGGTGATGATGATGAACATGATGAGGAACATGAGGATGAACATGATGATGATGAACATGAAAATGATGATGATGATGACTGTGAACATGAAGATGAAAATGATGATGATGATGAACATGAGGATGAGCATGATGATGGTGGTGTTCATCATCATCATCATCATCATCATCATGTTTATCATCATCCTCATCATCATCATCATGTTCACCATCATCATGTTGATGATCATCATGTTCATGATCATTTTCATTAGCATGTTCCTCATCATGTTCTTCATCAAAACGGTGGCGCTCTTCTTCATCACATACATTTCAAGTGTGCCGTTAGACCTGACTTGAGATGCAGGGGACGCGTAGTCATGATTGTCATGATAACTGCTGGTGATGCCGGGGTTGCATAGTTCATCATCACCATGATCATCGTTACCATCACCATCTGATTGCGCCCCGAGGCGTTCCTAACGGCTTACTTCTCGCGAAGACGAGGCGACGGCGCAAAGTCCACACTTCGCACCCGCAGCAATACATCGAAGTGAGAAGAAAAAAAGGCCCCCAACATGGTTTTCCTGCCCGAGTATGCACACACCGGGGCACTTCTTCTAACTAGAGGACAATTGGCCCAAAAGCATTTTCCACAGGTGCTCATCCCTCGGTGTGTATGGTCACATGAGAGCTCCATCTCATCATCCTAGTTTCCTCTCGAACTGCGCCGCGCGATTTCTCACGAAAGTGGTCTGCGCAAGCTGCATTGTTCCGGGCTGCTGCGCGCAAGTTGCTCTCTGCAAGCTGCTGCGCGCAAGTGCTCTGTGCAAGTTGCTCTGCGCAAGTGCTCTGAGCAAGTTGCTCTGCGCAAGTGCTCTGCGCCAGTTGCTCCGCGCAAGCGCTTTGCGCATGTGCTCTGTGCAAGTTGGTCTGTGCAAGTTGCTCTGCGCCAGTTGCTCCGTGCAAGCGCTTTGCGCTGCTGTGCAAGTTGCTCTGCGCAAGTGCTCTGAGCAAGTTGCTCTGCGCAAGTGCTCTGCGCCAGTTGCTCCGTGCAAGCGCTTTGCGCATGTGCTCTGTGCAAGTTGGTCTGTGCAAGTTGCTCTGCGCAAGTGGTTTGTGCAATTGCTCTGTGCAAGTTGCTTTGCGCAAGTTGCTCTGCGCAAGTGATTCTGCGCAAGTTGCTCTGCGCAAGTGCTGCCGGAGCTGTGGGAATGTACTTTGCGTACCATTTTTGTACTTAAAAGTTGCGATTTTCCAGCCGGAGCTGCGGGAGCAGTCTCCGCAAACTACGTCTGTACTTAAAAGTTGCGATTTCTAGCCGGAGCTGCAGGAGCCGAGCACGCTCCACGTACTACGTTTGCACTTAAACGTTGCGATTTTCAAGCCGGAGCTGCGGGGGTGTGCTCCGCGTACTACGTTTGTACTCAAAAGCTGCGATTTTCCAGCCTGAGCTGCGGGACCACGCTCCGCATACTACGTCTGTACTTAAAAGTTGCGATTTTCCAGCCGGAGCTGCAGGAGCACGCTCCGCGTACTACGTTTGTACTTAAAAGCTGCGATTTTCAAGCCGGAGCTGCGGGGGTGTGCTCCGCGTACTACGTTTGTACTCAAAAGCTGCGATTTTCCAGCCGGAGCTGCAGGAGCACGCTCCGCGTACTACGTTTGTACTTAAAAGCTGCGATTTTCAAGCCGGAGCTGCCGCGGACCAGGGGCGAATCGAACCCGCGACCGCGGGATTGCGAAAGCAGGCGCGCAAACCACGAGACAATTTCCAAAGGCCGTTTCGCGAGCAAGAAAATTGCACGGCGCCGGAGCGAGAGCGCTTCGACGCGCACGATGTCCGCAGAGGGTCGCGCGCGCGCCGCAGAAATCGTAAAAAGTCCCTCGACCACGCGAATCTCCGCAGAGGGTCGCGCGCGCGCCGCAGAAATCGTAAAAAGTCCGCAGTTTTTTAACCTCGACCACGCGAATCTCCGCAGAGGGTCGCGCGCGCACCACAGAAATCGTAAAAAGTCCGCAGTTTTTTAACCTCGACCGCGCGAATCTCCGCAGAGGGTCGTGCGCGCACCACAGAAAGCGTAAAAAGTCCCCAGTTTTTTCACCTCGACCACGGAGGGTCGCGCGCGCACCGCAGAAATTTGTAAAAAGTCCCCAGTTTTTTAACCTCGACCCGCAAAGGGTCGCAGTGCCGAGCGACGATCAAACTCCCGCCCCGGCGCCTTAGAAACCTAAACTAAGTTACATAGCTGCTAACGCCGAAGCTCTACGCAAGCTCTACCTAACCTTGTGCCACCTGGCTCTGTGTCACTTGGCTCTTTGGCTCCACTTGGCTCTATGTAACTTGGCTGTATGTAACTTGGCTCTATGTAACTTGGCTCTATGTAACTTGGCTCTATGTAACTTGGCTCTAACTTGGCTCTATGTAACTTGGCTCTATGTAACTTGGCTGTATGTAACTTGGCTCTATGTAACTTGGCTCTATGTAACTTGGCTCTATGTAACTTGGCTCTATGTAACTTGGCTCTATGTAACTTGGCTCTAACTTGGCTCTATGTAACTTGGCTCTATGTAACTTGGCTCTATGTAACTTGGCTCTATGTAACTTGGCTCTATGTAACTTGGCTCTATGTAACTTGGCTCTATGTAACTTGGCTCTATGTAACTTGGCTCTATGTAACTTGGCTCTATGTAACTTGGCTCTGTGTAACTTGGCTCTATGTAACTTGACTCTATGTAATTTGGCTCTATGTAACTTGGCTCTGTGCAACTTGGCTCTGTGCAACTTGGCTCTGTGTAACTTGTCCAAGGGCTCCGCACGGAAGAACCCTGCGCGATGCTTTCGGGGAAAGTCAACAAGGTGCTTTTTGTCATGCGAATTTTTCCCGCAGTGGCCTGTTTGAGAGCATGGAATGCGTCGTTATAATTATCAGAACAACTGCTGGTGATGCTAAAAACGTATAGTAACAATTATCATGATAACTGCTGGCGATAATGCGAATGCGTGGTACTAATTGTCAGCGCCCCTAATGTTGGGTACAAAATTGCATCATCAAAAACATCATCATTATCGTGCTGCTCTTCTTTTTTCATATATGCTTTAAGTGTGCCGTTAAACCCGACAAAAATTGCGTAGTCATTGTCATAACAACGTCCCCTGTCAGCAAGCAGGTGCCGGCGGACACCTGGCAGGCTGGGCAGGCACTGAAGGGTTCAGGGCGCTGGTCAAGGCGCTTGTCAAGGAGCTGTTCGGGCGCTTGTTAATATTGAATTGGTTCAGACGCCGCTTGTGCTTGCGTGTGGCGCGTAACGATTCGTGGCCGCTGCGCTACCTCGACGCCGCCAAGTTCATTGGGGGGCTGCTGCTTGCGCTTCTATGCGGCGTGGCCGCATCTGGATTCATTCGACGCACAAAGTCCGAGCTACAGGATTCGCCTGTGACTCAGGTGACCTTCGCCTTACCCTTTTTATTTAACGGCTGCCGCCCTGTGCCCTGAGGAAGGGTCCAAGGGTGAAAGCGCAAACAAGCTTTCCGCTGTAGTCTGGCAGTTCATCCGGTGTGTGGCGTTTTTCAGAGCGGCGGCAACGTCAGACGGGGACGTCGGTGACCCGGCCACAAGGCGCTGAGATCATGGAGATGGGCTGCCGGCAGCGGCTGGCTTGCAGCCCGCAATAACGCAACGCAGAGCGGGTTACGGGTTGCGGGGTCGTGCTCAGCAAGGTGTTCGCTCCTTGACCGCGGCCGGAGACTTCGGCGAGCTGCCGTTGCTGTCGCGGCGTGAAGGGGATTGTCTTGCGCAGGCCCCTTTGCTTTTTCGTTGTTTAAGTTGCCGGTTGTTTTTGTATGCTGCGTGCTGAGGAAGTGCTGAAAATTCTGAAAGCTTGCATTTCCTGTAGGTCGGCGACCTCCCCAGCCAGCGCCAGTGGAGCTGTGGCGAGAGTGTTGCTACGGGAGCGACTGGTGTGGTTAGACAGGTTCATCAATGGACAAGCTCTAGCCTCACGAGTGGCGACAACGCTTCGCGCGTTGTTTGCAGGATCTGCGTTTCGCAGACTTTGAGTTTCGACCCTACAGCCTTCGTAGAGGCGGAGCTACTTTCTGGTTTCGCAAGCACGGGTCGTTTGACAATTTGTTGGTGCACGGGCGGTGGCGAGGCCAAAAAACCGCGTAGACATCATTGAGAAGCGGTCGCTGAAGTAAGAACATCCATCGACACCCTGACGTTGCCTGGTTTCAGTCGACGGGCGATTCCGACTCCTTGTCTGGAGCCGACTTTCGACTATCTGGGTTTGACCGCCTGAAAGGGGAGGTCCATGTTGCAGGCGCCTACCTGGGCTTGGCCAGGAAAACCCGGGGTCTTGAGTGCACGAAGGAGGGAAGAGTGTTTGTTTCGAATTGGCCAGCTCCTATGTGCAGACAAATTTGGTCTCGCAGCGCGGGACAACAGGTTCAAAAGGCAGGCCAGAGTGAATCTTTAGAGAGAGAGATAAATATAAATATAAATAAATATATATATATATACATATATATATATATATGCGTGTATGCATGTTTACATACATGTATATGTTTACAGGTGTACGAGCGCTTTTTTTGTGACGCTTGCATTGGCCGCTAGCCTTCTCACGGCAGGGTTGATTTGGCAGGCCGCGTCCCGTGCATCTAGTGTTTCCAGCAGGAATGCACTGAGCAGGGAGGCTCCGGTTTGGCGCACGATGAAGCGATTCGGGCGTACTGTCTTGGCATCATTGCAGGCTCCTGTACATATTCGTCTTTACCAGGCCGGGTTCCGGAGCTGTGTCCTAGCAACTGGATCCCTGGGCTTGTTTGCAGGAGAAGGATGACCGGCGCCGTCGCCTGGAGCAGGCGAGGCCAATTTTTGTCGGAGAGCCTCGGAGAGCCTCGGAGAGCCTAGAGCCGAGGCTCGCCTCCGGCGCCTGGAGAAAGAGGAGGAGGAATTCGCATGTCACCACATCACCTCACCCACCGAGTCTGGAACGTGAGCAAGGACTTGCGGATGGCAGCCCAAAAAGCGCTGGGGCGCCAGCCCAGTCCTGCAAGCAACTCCCTCAGTTGCAAGACATTTGCAGGCCCTTTATCTGGGTGAATGTGTCGAGGACGGCGCGAGCCCAGCCCAGGGCCGGACAGCTTCCATGCGGGGAACCTGGAGACATGGTACTCGAATAGAACATGTTGTTGTTTGTTTGATTGTTTGTTTGTTTGTTTGTTTGTTTGTTTTTTGTTTGTTTGTGTGCTTGTTTGTTTGTTTGTTTGTTTGTTTGTTTGTTTGCTTGCTTGCTTGCTTGTTTGTTTGTTTGTTTGTTTGCTTGTTTGTTTGTTTGTTTGTTTGTTTCTCTCTCTATTTTCCCTCTTTTGTCCGTGGCTGTTATGCAAATTAAGGCTGGTAGAGGCGATGCTCTTAGAACAAGGCCGCCAATGCCAGAGAGGCGCAACTTGCCAAGCTGCTTGACTTGCGGGCACGGTTGCGAGCGGCGTGTAGTTTGGGAAATTCACTTAGCAAACTTGTTTCCAAAAGGCGCACACACACACACACATACACAGGCCCTCCAGCGCAGGATCGCGATCTCGTGAAGGCTGCACAACGGCCAATGCATTCCACACTTGCTTTCGCATAGAAAAGGTGGGAGTCTTCAAGGGGCGGACCGACCCAGCGGTAAGACAGCTCGGCCTGTGTCCCAGAATCCTTCCGATGTGCTTGCAAGCAAATCGCAGCACCAGCGTAGGAAAGCCGAACGGCAACAGGCCGGGGTCTCTTGCATCAGCTCTTTGCCGTGGCTTTTCAATCAGGATGCAAACGGTGCTGCACCTTTGCTGCGCACTCAGCACTTCAACATTTCTAGAAGGAATGCGTCAGCCAAAAGGTCACCACTTTGTTATGACAAGAACTGGGGGCGAGTTGCCGAGATATCTTTAGTCACGACACGCACAACCTGCCATTGTCAGTGGTTCAAAGTTGGATGTCACTTTGCTCGACGTTCCCGAGCCACGCACCTAGGCCTCAAGAGACGGCCAGCGTGACCTCAGAGTCTGGGGCTCTAGGCGGGCAAGTGGCTGACTTGAGCTTGGTGAAAGGCGTGGTGAAAGGGTCTAACAAAGTGCACAGGCCAGCAGAGCGTGGGCACTGGCTTGGAGGAGTCCGTACCTGAACAAAGTACATGGCTAAGCAAGTCTGAAGCAAGGACAGCTTATGTGGCGATGCAGCCCCCACCCATGGTATTGGAGATGGAGACGATGAAGCCGCAAACTCAGATTACAAGCGTTCCTGTTCCATTAGCTACAATCACTTCATTTAATTGAGCTCATGCCAGTCTCAGATATTTGACGTGTTCTGAGTTTGTTGGAGGATGCGCGCCACATAATGTGTTTGGCGCATGTTTTTCTTTCTTGCCTATTCATCTGCGAACACCCTTTCACGTGCTGGCCCGTACAGCAAAGGTCCAGCGGCTGCGGCAGTTGGCTCTGGCCTAATTTCTACCAGTCCGGTAGCTGCGCCGTGCGATTCGGAGTTGGTCGTTGCACAACAACTTGGCTGAAACGAGGTTTCGTCACAGCAGCAGAGGACACCAGCAGCTTGCCCAAGGGTAAGCTTTTGCCCAAATCTTTCTTTATCTACTGCGGACCCTTCCTACTTTTTTCCAGTACTGTGTTCTTGTGGTCAGGGCATTTTGGTGAGCACGACATGAGTTGGTTGTCATGCCGTGGCGTTTGAGCATCGCGCGCCCGACCGGCCCAACCTCTTCCAGTTCATCCTTGGCCTTGGCCTGAGTCATTTGCTTGTGCTTTGAGCGAACTCTAGTGATACCCAGGACATAATTGGTCCGCCACCTACCATGTCTGACAGGCAATGTGCCAAAGGTTTTGTCTTTGGTGCGGAATCCACGTGGCAGGGACAGCACGGCAGCAGAGGCTGGTGCTGTATGCTTTGTGTGCGTCTAGTGCATGAGTGTCTTTTGCCAGGCACAGGCACGCAATGGATTGCAGAGTCCTGTGCTCCTTCAATTTGAAGGAGTGCTGGCGAAGCATGGCGTGGCATGTCGCGTGACGACGTCACAGGAGATTTTGGCGAAGACGCCCCTAGCGTTGCTCGGGCTTGCGGGCTGACACCGCCAGCTCCATGCTTAGATCTTTTAGCTCTGGAGCAAACTGTTGTGGGCACTCCAATTCACTAGTCTACATACTCAGGACTTACCTCCCTTCACTGAAGGACCACTGGCAACGGACGAGGCCATTGTGGCAATGCTGGAGGGCCATGTAAGCAGACTGTGTCAGGTCAGCAACCTTTGCTCTGCAATTGTCTGCAATCCGCGATCCTTTGACGACTGGATTGCTTTGATCAAAGTGGCACGCTGCCAAGATTCCATGCACCGTGCAGGTGCACATGAGACATGATGTGCGATTTGGCTCTTAGGTCGAAGCGCACGGATCCAACTGCGAGCTCACGCAGATGCCAACAGCTTATGGGATTGTAGCTGAAAGGGCAGTGTTGCTGGGGCAGGCTTGCACAGCACTGACAGCACTGACAGCACTGACAGCACTGAGGTACCAAGGCTTTCTGGAAGAATTTCCACTCTGTTGGGGATACTGGAAGAGGCCGCCCGGAAAGATGCCGCATGTTGGCAACCTTGCCAGAGACAGGCTGGCAGAGTTGCAGTCACGTTGTGGCCGGGACCCAAGCGATCAAAGCAACAAAGCAGCTGGCTTGAGGACTTTCACTCGCTTCGACTTGGGCGTGAATTCGGCAGCCATTTACTACATGCATCAAGTTTCCATTTTGTTAGCGCGATGTCAGGAAGCATGATCACCACGTCGGATGCAGCATATCATTCCTTGATCGGGAGCTGCAGCGCAGCAGCTCTACACGCATTGTGTGACACATTTACTGTGATTCCATCACTGGCTCCATTGTGTGTTGTGCCGAACTGCTGTGATCATAGCTGCGTTCGTAGCAGCTGTAAGCCACAGCAGCTACGCTTCGCGATGCTTTAAACATGGACTTGGGACGAACAATGTCCAGCTATGAGGCCTGGCAAAGCTGCAAAGCTGCAAAGCTATGAAACGTAAATGGCATTGAAGCGCGCAGCATGAGTCAATTAGTGCTTCTTGAGTGCGATGCGAGGCATGGCCAGCCACGAGTGCGCCACGTCAAGGAGGCCTTCTTCAGGCGACGGGCAGTGCAGAAGTGCCAAGTGCATGGCACCCGAGAAGCACTCAGGACACCGCATCTGGTGCAAAGGCCAGACGCCCAGACGCTGCAAAGCCGAGTTCGGTCTAAACAGCCGGCGCGTACATCGGCTTTGTGAGTTTGACGGATGGGTACGCCTGGCCCTGCACCATTATCGTTCGCTTTGCTGTGGGAAAGGACGAGGAGGAGCCTCAACCTGGTGTGGTGTTGAGGTTGGCAGAGGCGGGATAGATTGTGCGCGCCACAAGGACATTCCTTTCTGTGGAGCCGAGTCTTGAGGGCAGTTGCAGCCACAAGATTGCAACTGCCTTGGTGACCGCAAAGAACCGTTGTGAGCCACGGATTTGTATTCCCAATATGCTTGAGGCCTGTCATATCAGATAGCCCAGAGCAGAGCGCCATGATGTTGATGATGCACATCTCAACGTTAAGTTTGGAGCGGCTCAACCACGCTGGAGTTCGACAACATCAAAGTGCTTGTTTTGGAAACTAACCGGGGCAATACACAGGTGTACCGTGAACGGTTTCGCAGCTCAAGAGAGCCCTTCCAAGAAGGTATGAACATGGATATGGTCGCCCGTATGTAGGATGATTGCTCGCTACGCAGCAACAATCGCTAACATGTCCTGAGTTTCATTCGGTACCTTCAAAAACCTTTTCTGCACCTTGTCATTTTGTTTGGAGGCGCCCGGCATCGGCCAGGTCACCGGATGTGAGCTGGACACATGCTGTGCAGCGTTGATAGCTTGCCAGCAGCCTAGATATTTAATGTCCATCAGCGCAACTTAGTTGAGTCTCGGGTCCTGGTTTGCTTCCCTAGCACGCAAAGATATTTGAGTTCGCACTCCTTAGGTGATAACAACTTTCATGCTGCGCTTGCACAACTGCGTTGCAGCCCTTCCACGTCGCAGGTGGACACACCTTCAGTATGGTTGCACATACCCAATAATTGCAATCAGGTTGGCGCCAAAGCACGTGCCCAAATGCGAGCTGCGCTGCAAATGCTGCCTGGCATGTTGAGCATGTTTCACTTTGCTGTTCTTCTTCGAATCAATCAGCAACATTTTTCCTTCTCAGAAGCCAGTTATTTCGACAACAGCACCTCTTTTTGGACTCGTTCCGCATACCGCACAAAGGGGTGTGTGTGTGTAGAGGTGATTGTCACTGTGCCAAATACTCTGCGTGGCTCAGGCTAGAGAGAGCGCGCGCACGTCGCTCTGTGACCCGGGGAGCATTGGGGAGTGCTTGGGTGGTCGCAGCTATTATGCTGCATGCCTTTGAATACATTCTGTCCATGCCTTAGGGCCTTAGAGCAGAGCCTTGGAGCAGTGAGCTCCGGAATAATTTAAAGCTCTCAGGCCCAGACGCTTTCTGGAGATCCTGCTTGCGCTGCTGGGTGTTCGTGCAGATGGCCTTCTTGGGCTGTTGGCCTTGCTGCTGGGGTTGCAAAGTTAACTGCATGCGCCAAAATGGTGACTGTGTGCTCTGCCCGAAATTTCCGAGGCTGCTTCCTGTCCTCATTGCACTCCTTGCAGTGGTGGCTTCTTGACATTGAATAATTTTCGTGTCAGTTACGCATTCATTTGTTTGTGGCGGCCAAGCGTCCAGGTGCTGTTGAGAGATCTTGATGGATTTCTGAACTCGGAGACGGAGAAGTGAGAGTTTCACAAGAACACATTTGTCAAGTTAGCTAGCGAGACAATGCACGCTTGATACAATCGAGCCTGTGTCGCAACCAAAGCAAGGCAATGCACCGCTGGGAGGAACAGCAGTATAGTTATTGTGTGGTCGAGGGAGGATGTGATTGGCCCATTTGCTGTTTGGCCAGGCGGAGTCGAGGCTGGCCTCAGCGTTTATGTCAAGGCGTTGAAGCTGGTGCCCGCTTGTGTGGACTTGTGGGCAGCGCGCCGAGCTTTGACGAGCGTATGCACTTCTACAAAGGGCGACTGCGACTTGCGCTGAGGTTCACTACTGTGAAGCCGCTTGTGTGTCATCCAGCAACACCTCAGAGATGGAGGATTCAATATGTCACGTTTTGAAATGCCAAGCTAAATGCAATCAATATAGACGTGTGAACGACACGACACACACACACACACACCCACACACACACACAACAAGAACACACACACACATACACACACACACACACCACACACAGGACACACGCACACGACGCGCACAGGACACCTGCACACGACGCACACAGGACACACGCACACAACGCACACAGGACACACGCACACACACACACACGACACCGCGCAGAGGACACACGCACACACGACGCACACACACAAGACACAGACACAGACACACACACACACACGACACACAGACACACGCAAACAGACACACACACACACACCCACACACCCACCCACCCACCCACCCACCCCACCCACCCACGCACCCACGCACCCACGCACCCACGCACCCACGCACCCACGCACCCATGCACCCACGCACCCACGCACCCACGCACCCACGCACCACGCACCCACGCACCCACGCACCCACGCACCCACGCACCCACGCACCCACGCACCCACGCACCCACGCACCCACGCACCCACGCACCCACACGCACCCACCCACCCACAC